ATTTTATTGAATATCGTGTGACCGTGTGTGCAGTTTTAGCAGTCAGAAATATGCCTTGGATAATGCCTCAAAACGCTGGAAATCTCCGAGAGTTAAGATTTCGAAATTTTCTGGGGCAAATACCACGAACCTCCCAGTACCTTCTGCAGCCACTAGACCCCCCCCTTCAAACAGATTCCCGCTCCACGGTCCCTGATAAATACAATGTAACTTTGATTTCACAAGATATAAACAAGATGCCAAATATGAAAAACTGTTTTAATATACCATTTTCTTATAAATAAAGAATCTGCATTATAAATTTACTGTAATAATCTGTAACTGCAAAATCATCAAATGATTTTTTATGTATTTTATACAATATATTACATACATGCTGGTGAACAATAAAAACTATTTGAAATGTAGTTTTGAATTTAAAATTTCTCCCTTCAATTCTACATCAGCCAGTCTATATGTTTTTCTTAGCAGCTCAACTGTAATCCGCTTATGTGCAAAACCACAGGTCACCAATGAAACTGGTTTTAACCATGAAAAGGGCCATTAACACTTTTATAACTGTAGTATGTATCTTTCCACAAGGAGTAGGGAAAGGTATAATTTCGAAGTTATAAAGTTAAAACTACTTTGCTATTGTCTCTAAGAGGCTGGAAATGCTGTGACTTCAACATATGGAAAATGGTCTCCTGGGTATCATACATTGAGGTTGGGAGGTTGGCAGGAAAGGGCACATTTTTAATTTACTGATGAATTATTCACTGAAGATGGGTTTAGCATCCAGCAGATCTTCATATTCACAAAAAAATGAATATTTTTTAAGAAAAAATATTACTGTACTGTACTGTAATATGTATTGTAAAACTCATGAATAATTAATGAGGAAAACACAATAGAAATCACAACCGTGAAGAGTGTTGTAATATTTGATACAAAACTGTCTTGATTTGAATAAACTTTAAATCTAATTTTCTCAGCCAAATTCAATTTTATCTTTAAGTTTTTAGTAGATTATGAATGTATACACCTAAACGTTTCACAAGTAATTTACAACATTCGTGTCCGTGTTGTATGGGCTTTACAATTGTAAAATCCCATACAACACGGCCGCTCATGTTGTAAATATTACATATTACAGAGGATATATAAAGTGCAATATATTGGGTCTCAATGACATATTTTTGTTGTGTCAGGGGGGTGACACCTTCCCATGAGAGCATCCATCTATTGTGTGAACTATATCACAATCATGATCACTTCATGAGTAAGTTAAAATCGTCAATAATAAGAAAACATTAAATGTTAAAATCTGATAGTAAAAAAACAGCTATTAGTCTGGTAGGTTTAGTTTTTTTTATGTACAACCCCCTGGAAATTTCCTGACCATGTCTCAGTACGAGGGAATATCAGCCCAAATAATACTTCTTCTAGTAATGGAAGTTACTCCTCGCTTGAAGATTTTTCTTCAATCACTGACAATCTATGACAAAGAATAGACAAAGTGAGTGGCAGTTCTCAGTAATCAAAGCTGACACAAGACAAACAGTAGACTAGCTATGTCTTACATATTGGAACTCTCAGTTGTTAGAGTACAAATACTAAAAGCATGTAACACTTTCCACTATTTACTACAAAATATTGCTAATTAAACAATAGAAAACAATAGAATTAGCATAATTTAGCAGTATTTAGTGGTATTTATGTTGCACAGTTTTAGTGTTTGAATCCTGTGGTGTGATTCAAATTCTGCATGGATTCTCACTCACATGTTTTCCGACAAGTAAGCTCTTGAAAACAGCAAATTTGAATCGCAACACAAGAATTRCAAGAAACAGAAATAAATTAATGAGCAAGGCAAATCTAGACTTACAGTAAAGTACAACAAGAAATTGAAGACGATGGTCGAACAACAATCAGTTTGAGCCTTTTTTCAAATCTTTTGTTAATGACCATTCATAACCAGAATATTGAATATATCCCCATTAGATGACCTTTGGAGTCCATGTCTGGGGAACATTTTAATGATTGAAAAGGAGATGGAAAAATTGAGCAAATGAGCATTTTTGAGATCAGGACTGTGCAATGCTTTCATATTGACGTCTTCAGCAAAATATGTTTAAGCGTATGTTGGAATTTGATAAAGCAATTTTAAATATTTGCTTCTGATCTTTTGGGGTTTAAAACTGCTCACTTGCAGCTCACAGCACTGGATTTGAAATGCCCATAGAGTTCTRGTGCTCATATTTTTTGCATTACTTTTATAATGATTATTCTGAGCAGTTTTACATTCTATTAGTATTAATTAATAATCATCAAACCATTGGTGAAGATTTTTTTATTAGGAATTAATSATTAAAAGATTTAATTCAACAAATGTACACCCAAAATGTATATGTGAAAAAACACCCATGCTATGAAATAAGATAATAATTATAATCCAGCACTTGATAAAGTGCATCCCATACAGTAGTTGTAAAGGTTTGTCTGTTAAATAGATAAACCTTTGCCACATAGTCTAATGTATCAATAAAAAAACTCCAGTGTGAACATTAGTCAGTGTACAGTCATTTGCCTGTTCTCTTGGCAGAAGGAAATCCTCCCCCAAGTAGTGGGAAATGGCTGCACTTGGATATTSTGGAGTTGAGYAGCTAAGGAAATGCATATGATTTTTCATGCAGTTTCTTTCATCTGAAATTCTTTTTTGTCAGATTCATCTTTCTTATCCACAAGCACAACAAACCCTTATCAATGTTGTTCCTGTATGTTAATGACTTTGAATTCAATAAATATTACTGCATCAACTCATTTTAAATTAATTTAACATCATTTAAGTGGTAGGTACTGCATTACAAAATACATGTACTCAATTAATTATCGGATAGTGTCCTTTGATAAGGAATACTTTTAGTCATTTTAAGTTTAACATTTTCAATAATTTAAATATCKTCTTACCACTAATGACAGTTTACAGTGTTGTTTAAAAATTATATACCTCTGACAAGACAAACTTTATAGTTTAAAGTTAAAATACATAAATATACATTAAACGTTAGAGAATGGAGCTAGTCATGAACCATTAAAAAGATAAGTTACTGCTAGAAATATTGTATTAGAGTACA